CGGCAATTTCATACTTTAACCCCTAATAATAAAGATAATCGGTTACACACATATAATCATTCGGCTACCACCATTGCTTTTGGGTCGAATATTTAAAATTTATATTTTATTTAGCTTTTATTTCTAGCATTTTGAAGTAACTTATTACATGTAAAAAATTAAACAAGTATAATTATCAGCACTCAAATGAGTGCAAATTTGAAGACTAGTTGCAATAGTGTCGTAAATCTATGATACTGGTCACCATCAGACACTTGCGACTGCAGCGACCGCGACAAGTGCCGTCACAACTATTTAAATAAAATAGGATATTATATAGCTAGCTGAAATAAAGCACAAGATCATACCATAAACAAAAAGACGGTTATACCAATTACCTGTAAATATAGTTAGGAGCCATATCGAATAACGTAACATTCTAAAAAAAACCGCAACTGATTCGGTCCATCCATTCGGGCGTTACATTCCACAAACGCAGACAATGATGTCAAACTTAACACCCCTCTATTTCGATGCGGGGATAATAAGAAACGAAATGGAATACAAACAAAGGAGCATTGTTGTTTTACGAGTAGGTATAATAATAATTAATTTCAATGCTCGAATTCAAGTTATAATTAATTTCTTAGATAAGCAAATTACATTTGAAATGGTCAAATTCATCAGACACTGATCACCTAAGAGAAAGAGCAATATACTATTGGGGCCGAACTAAGGATATTAGTATAATATACACAATGAGACTATTATACTATGTTTTATAAAATTCACCTCACACAAGATCACCTATAGAGACGCTACGTTAACTTTAATAAGTAAAAAAACATTAGCATATCCCAGCCAAACTGTCATCGAAGTCAACGACACAGGGCGTCTCACTTTACTAACAGAATGATTGTAGTAATGGGTTGTGCGGCAACAATCAAGAACCATTTCATATAATGTACTCACGTATCAGATCGGCAGCAGCAGACGGAATGGAAGGTGGTGGAGACAGCGAAGAGCAGACATAGTGCTAGACCGTAGACAACGGCGGCGATGGCCTGAGGTGCGTTTATCGAGCGTGTGAGAAGCTCTCGGGCTCCAAATGACGCTGGAGCTACGCATACAGCGTGAGTGCATACGTTCGCTACATTCTCCACCTGCAGGAAAATGTGTATTCAATAATAAATAATAATTATCTAAGGAGACGATATAAAGCCGAAGTCTGCCGTGCGATTAGGGATCATTCAGAGTGCAGGCGCGGCGAGGCGGCGTGTGCGGGCGCGGCGGCGGGTGCGAGCGCGCGGATCTAGACGCGAAATCGCAAACAGACGCTAGACCAAGAGCTGTGAAAAGAACAGGCGGACCGGGCCAATAGGCCTCGCGGCGCGCACGCACCCGCGCCCACATTGACGCAGGCGCGCCAGCGCGCGTGGCCACTGTAACGCAACGTAACAAGCGTCTATGTTTTTTTTTATTAAAAATAAGTGCCCATTTGACCACCACCAAAGTGATGATGAGGTCAACGATGTAGCTTGCACACCTAAATAATGCCTATTCACTCTCGCCTTGAAAAGATCCAAGTGATAGCGTTCGGGGAATACGTGCGCAGGCAGGGAATTCTACTCTGTAGCCGCTCGCCATATAAAGGTGGAAGCGAAACGATTCGTGCGAATCCTGGGAATATCCACAACATAAGGGTGGAATCCCAGGTCACGCCTAGTCCCCCGATGATGGAAAGGAGAAGGCGGAATCAAATTATGCAATTCCATCGCACACCTGTGATATATCCTGAATATCCGTACATTTGATTTAGATGTACCTGCGCCCGCACGAAATTGATATTTTTAGGTTACAATAAAACTTTAGGTGTCAATATCTCGACAACGAAAGCAGTGTGTGTAATCGAAGATTTTTTTACAGGTTTTGTTTCGTCGTTTCTCATCACTATTATAAGGCTAGCGCATAGCATTCTTATTTATATGGTATTTTCTGAGGAACAACCTTACAATTAAATTGAGTTCCACGAAATACAAATTTGTAATAGCTGATACGTAATAAGTACACAAAACGTCTCACGCAGGTTTTTATCGTAAGAAACAATTGAATTTATTTATGATCATTGTCCTATTACGCGCTCCATTTTCCTCTACGTGTTTACAGGTAGGTAGACTTCATCGTTTCCGGGCTACATACGCGGAAAAATTACTTCCAATAATGGCGTTCAAACTTAGGTTCTTACGTTCTTTTTCCTTTTATGGTTAACTATGTTTATTCCATATTATGTATAGTTCATTGTAAAAGTGAATAAGGCCTTGTAATTTAATTTTGAAATAATGAGCTTTTAGCAAATTAATGTGCAGTTACTTAAGTTATCTGAGTAAACTGGTAATGCCATCTGTGGGATGTCAGTGCAATTATTGGAATTGCTTCACTGAAAGATATGACCAAATGTGATACTTTTAATATGACTTTTAAGCAAAAAAATGTGTTTTAAAATATCGAGTTCTTAGGTTTTCGCGATTGTTACGCATAGGAAATGAAACTATTTTTCTGGATTTAAATCGCGTATATTTGTTTTTTCAAACAAACCGACGTTTCGGGCCCTTTACAGGTCCCATGGTCACGGTTGACTGTCAACAGTTTCATTTCCTATGTGTTTTAAAATATGGACTTACACATCACTTTTGTAATGATTGACTGGTAGGTCAATGTGATGTGTAGATTTGTCATGGTACGAATATGAGCAATATTATAATAAGCTTACTATAACTTTACATTGAAATAAGATTGTTTTTTGAAAGGTTATGGTAGGCCCCCGTATCACGTACAGATTTGAGTACCTATATTAATTAGTTGTTAAGTAAAAGAGCGTTTATCTATCCGTGCGATGGAATTTGATGAGAAAATCACAAAAGCTCTTAAGATATGAATGTACAAGGTTAATTTTCCCTAAAAGCCTCAAAAGGCCCGACTGATTTTTTTATAATAATAAGTACTTGGGTGTTGGCACTGCAAAATAGTGTTTCAACGTAGAAACCTGCTACTTGCTTGCGACGTTTGTATCTGATAATTGAGATTGTTCTATTTCTATTTGCCGTTATTCACTTTAGGGCCAACTGTGAAAGGTCGGGTCAAATTGCATTGTCCTTTAGTCCACGGATGTAGAATCGAAAATCACGTGTGTGGAATTTAATTTCTGATGACGTAATTGGTGTTAGAATTTTCATATATGTTATATAGGTACGTATGAATGATTTTTGGCATGATACAACGGGAATTATTCGTAAGGTTGTGACGTGGGTATTGTAAGAACTTAAAAACTGTATAAATAGACACAGACTACATTGCCGACTTGGTCGTTATATTTAACGATAACATTCGGTAAAGCGAATAGTTGATCAACCAAAGTATGTTTCCAAAAGAGTAAGTTGTTATAGTTCATAGGTAACGGTGTCAAAAATATAGCACGTGAATTGTTGGATGTTACATGAACGGATGTTCGGCTTTCGCTAACGGTATAGACTATGTTTTCAGTGAGAAATATGAAATCCTACGCCAAATGAATAAATTATATAGAATATTTACGCGGCAAGTACAGTAACAGAATTGTACTAACTAAAAACGAGGCTAATATCATATATTTACAAAATGGTATATAACGCACATACTCAACATAGCCCCGCACTAGGGAAACCCTGTGTCGCGGGTGCTATGGACACACACATAGACAAACACAAATCAAAATATAGAATATTAACTATAGAGTCAACACTGTTATATTAATAATAGATCTCATTGAAAGATATCTATTACTGTTCGACCTCTAGTAACAGGTGCAACGAGATGATAATAATATCTACACATGCAATCTCGTCTTATGACTTCGTATTAAGATGTTATAGTTAAATGTAAATATGTATATACGTCTATTTGTGGTTTTAAGCGGGTAAAAAAAGGCTACTTTGCCTAGTCTTTAAAGAAGCAAGAAGCAAAAAGCGGAAGGTTATTTTCACCTCACTAGCTCGGAAAGGCTTTCTTTCTCATTATTAGAAGCCTGCGCGCAAAAGCGTTTTTTCCACGCTAGCGTGGAAAAGGTTTTTGAAATTCGAACTTGGCGATGGACTGTGGCCCACCTAACGTTTTCTTTCGATGAAAAAAAAAACATAATGACACGGTCAACTACGCGATTTATCGTAGGTACATTGCTTATGTAATAGAAACCCGTTGGTATATTTTATTCTTATTATTGTTAGCATTAAATTGACAACGATAATTAATTTTGTTTATTAAATTATTTTAATTCGTCGAAGAATTAAATTGATTTGTCATCTATTTTCCTCGCTATAGTGAGGTGAAAAGTTGTGTGTTTCGCACGGCAGCAAAGTTGTTTTGCGTCTCGTGTCTAGAAACCTATATCTATGTTTTAAACCTAGGCTAACAAAGGATTCTAAAATTGAATCAGAAGCGAGTCAAAGTTGTTACTTTGCAGCCTTGCATAACAAATAACTATTGTCCGACGGCGTGTTATATCGACGCCTTAATTTCTCACTTTCTTACTTTTCTCAAACAAGTATCTTATAAAAAGTGATTATTCAGGTAATTGACAAAAATATTTATTTATTTTAAATTTCATATCAAGGGTGTTAATTTGGACGCATTACTTTAACAATAGGTAAAAGCCAGTGTGTGAATATGAAGGAAGTATGATGTGAAATTAGTCTGCAAATTTGTATATACTATGCATTTTTTGGATTTAAGTTACTATGTGCCTTAAGATACGAGTTTGAGAAAGTAAGGCGACGATATCCGACTTGTCGTATTTTTGGTACAAGCGATCACAAATTCCTGCGGTCTAGGAATACGTCCGCCGGGACGATTCACTATGATAACGGCTACGGTAAAAGTCATTGTGTTGCGCCGAATAGTGTTTCTCGTTTGTTTCACATTTGAGTAGTCAACTAATCAATGTATATTCGTAAACCGATAACGGGCATTTATGCATACAAGAAATACTATATTTTAATGTCGGCATTTCACATGGCTATTTACATTTGTGTATTAGATTTTTTTTTTGTTTGCCTATTCGACAAATAGCAACCACCAAACACGCGTTACCGCGCGCTGATCGGTTTCTCGACGTCTAAGGACTCAAATACGCAAGTAGTACGTTCACACTACGGTCATATTCATTATTTTAACCCTTTAGGCCCGGCGCTCATTGACGGGACGGGTCAGTAGGGGATCCTCATCGCTAAGTGCAAGCGCACACTTACGGCAATTATATCGCGGCATCCTACGCGGTATCCTTAGGCATGCAGGGGCACGCCGAAGCACACCATCGCGATATCGTGCTAGCGACTAGCCTCTCTTCAGATCTCTGCCTCTTCTCGCCCCGCTTACCCGTACAGTCGTACTCGGTGCTCCGAAGCCTGCCAAAGCATCTCCAAGGCTCGGTATGCCTAAACATGCCGCATATTTTTGCAGCTACGGCTATTATCATTGAAATTTCAACTAATAATGCCATAAGTTTAAGGTAATGTAAAAAAATGTAAGGTTACCTTTCGTCACCTAAAAATTCTCTGCCGAGTCGTCCTTATTTGGCTCAATGACAAATAGGCGGTCATATTTATCAGTGTTGTCTTATCTGGTTGTTTGTCTGTACGTCAAATATTTTTCCAAGTACAACAAATAACCAATAGCGAAGTACCACCATAACGTTGCCTAGTTGTTTCCAAAATGTTATCAATCCAACTATTTTGTAAATGACATAATGGACAGAACCAGAAGCCTTTTTTACATAGGTACATTATTTGGGGTTTCGGAGTAATGCACTAGTTTTAAAACATATATGTCCCTTTTCTGCGATAGCGCCACTCACATCCTGATTGTCAGATTTGCAAAACGTTAACATTTATGTTATGTTGACATTTGGCAATCGCTTTGGATGTTTACTTCATTCATACTTTACTTGTTTGTATACAGATATAACTGGCTATACACATTCCATATGTTAGAAGGTTTTTCAGAGTCAACAAAATTGAGTTATAATTACAATTAGTCTGTTGTATCCCACTGCTAAGCTAAGGCTTCCCCCTGATCCCTCCACTCATCCCGATCTTGAGCTATCTGGACCCAAGCCTTATCGTAGGCGTCCAGTTCGTTACGCCATCGCTTTCTCGGTTTGCCACGGCGCCTTACGCTTTTGGGGTTCCACTGGGTGATGCCCTTGGCCCACAGGTCTTCAGGCATGCGGCAGACATGACCAGCCCAATTCCATTTCAGCTTTGCAGCTTTTTGGGCTACATCAGCAATCTGAGTTTGGGAGTGCAGTGTCGTGTTCCGAATTCGGTCGGTCCGTTTCCCACCAAGTATGCTGCGCTCCAATGCTTGTTGACAGACCCTGAGTTTGGACTTTTGGATCTTTGTAAGTGACCAAGTCTGCGCGTCATAAGTTAGTATAGGAAGGATTCATGTGCATGCATAGTATCAATTGGATATTTCATTAATTAATGATCTACGTTTTGTGGTATTTGGAACACTGATGTCAATCCTTAATAATCCAATGTATAGTGATACCACCCTACGTTGTTTAAGTAAGCACTAAGCACTATGCAAAAAGGTTGGTGTTTGTAGGGTGCTGCCGCTGTTTAAAGTAGAATTAATTGAACTTTAACCAGCAGAGTATTGCATAAACACAATTGTGTTGCATAAAACTTAAATTCATATTATTCTACATAAGTTATATTGAGAAATCTTTTACAAAATTAACTTTGTAAAATGTCCCTTCACTTCACTTTTTATTTTTATGGCTCCATCAATATGAGAACTGATGATTTTGCCAATGTCACAGTTGAAAGAAAAAAAACGAAACAAAAAAAAATTTTCGCTAAGCTCTAATAGGACATTAACCGGTGTTGGTAAGTTGGACTACGAGAGTACTGTAAAACCAATTTACATAAAATTTAGGTGAACAAAAATGAACCTTAAAATTATTGCTGAAAGGTAATCAGGGAAATAATCTCTTCAAAAGGACACCATTGAGGTATCAACTTTATGTAAAGTATGATGTAGTTAGCCTACAGCCCTTTATAGAACAAACTTCTATTTTTTTGTATCACATAAATACTTTTGCAAACGCGGTTTTGATAATATTAAATAATGGCAGGGTTCTCGAAAAATACGCAAATTCCACTAAAACTAGTCATTAAACTTTCAATTACTTTTATCTAGACCTCACTTTGAATATCTCAAAAACTTTTTGATTAAATTTTAAGACTGTTGTATGAGTTTAGGAAAGTTTTTACTGGAAAGATCTGGAGGAGCCCTATGCCAAGAGGCACGCTGAGTTAAGAGGAATAATGTAAAAATTTAAAATGCAATGCAAAATTGTAATGTAAAAAAGGCTTAAAAGGCTTAATAAATAAGTATGAGTATAGGTTTAGGGTTAGTCACTTTTCAATATTTCACCAATGCATTTAGTAAGTATTTTAAAGAATAAAAACATTCAACATTCATGTAATAAACTGAGTACGACAAAACCAACCAAAACACAATTTCTTACATTCATAATTATTATATGTGACTATGGACCTGTACACGTAATTACTTAATGAAATAATAGGTGGCAGAAGTGATGTCAGAAATAACTGGTTTTGCATGCAGATTTTTTTAGCGCCCAGAATGAATGATCTTTATGTAATAATTATTATAATGTTGTGAGAAGTTTATAAAGAGATAACGAGTAGCAAAGGAAACGATGACAATGTTTTTTAGGAACAAATTAAGTGTTTGTTTATTAAAGTTAGGCTTTTGTATAAAAAAGTACAATTTTAATAAAGAGCATTTAATTTTAGATAAATGTACGTACCGCGGTTGGCACATAAGCCTTGTTCGCTGAAGCCCGCTCGTTCATCCACTTCACCGCCTTCAGCTTGTCCCACGGAAGATCACAGTGAAAATAAATTTTACTTTCATTGAACTTTGATTTAAACTTCATAACAATCACAGAAAATATACTAACAACGTCACCCATTGGCCAAGCGGTACGTGTTCGTGCTAAAGGAGCTCAAAATTAAATGGTCATGAGACCAATGACTGTATGCATAAACCTATGATGATGTTAACACTCATGTTAGTAATTCAATTTGCATTTTCTGTTATTCGTACATATTTCTAATAAAACCCTTCCAACTTTACTACCGCCTTGGTCGATGCAAGATGACAGAATGATTTGGTTGACTAATTTGATTGCCTGAATGAATTTTTTTTTTTTCCTTCTTCCCATAAGGGAAAAGGCAAAGGTTTTACACCATACAGCCAAGTCTTGGTACAAAAGACCGAATGAATATTTTTGTTTGACGTTTGTTTTTCATAGTGACGTACGTAGGTTGCTATCGATAATTTTATCGGTCCTGCTTAATATTTCCATTTTCAAAAAAAAATCATATTTTTCGGAAAATTTTACTGTCCTTTTACTTTAAATTTCCACGTTGACACATGTCAAAAGTTGAAGTTACTGAACGAAAACGATGGAACCACTATTCATTAATAAAAAGGTTTTTATTCGCTGTTGTGAAATAATTTTACATCTCGTTTTTCTTTATGTGCCTTTTATCTATACAAATTAATTTTATAATTCACGTCAAATAAAACTTCAAAAGGTATTTCTAAACGTAGAACATAATATCTAGGGTCGGCGGACTAAAGCACATAAGTCAAAATCCAACATTATTCATTTAAATTAATACATCTACAGATTAAAGCATATAAGCCAAATTCATATGCTATTCCATAAATTTATAATTTATGGAATAGCATATGAATTTGGCTTATTATTATTATTATAATAACTTTATTCTGGAGGCGTCTTTTTCAAATGATATTCTCTTCACATCTTCCAACACTATAAACAACACAAAAAATATGTATTATTATACATATATTAACAAACAAAGCACTTTTTTGACTTATGTGCTTTAGTCCGCCGACCATAGACATGGGCCTGCGAATTTATATTTCTTAAAATTTTCAGGAATTTTTCTGGAAAAATTTCCAGTATTTGAAATTTTTCGGAAAATTACCCAACAGTGGTCGTGCTTCGGCGTGGAATACGACATACTTAATGATCTAATATAGATAATTTAAATCCGGAAAAATCGTTTCATTTCCTATAATCACTTTAATTTTGTTTCCCACTGCAATTTTATTTCACATAAATAATTATGAGGATCTTGTTTTTAAAAGCGAGTTAGATGCAATAGGCTCGACGTAGTGTTGTAGCGTAAACATACTCCTTGTTCGAAGTACGATGACTTTAGTGTCACGCCTAAAAAATAATTCTCTCATAACTGTCAAACTGTATCAAACTGTACTTTCTGTTTCCTTAATATTTCTACTTCTATATTATATTCGCGTTTACATTGTTAGTTTGTATTATTTCCCACAGGTTATGGAGCGTTTTATACATATTAGCAATTAAATTAATAAACACAAACAAAACTTTTGCAAGAAGTAAAAGTTTCCGAGTCTCCTGCATTCTTCACAAACCAGATTTCCGTTTTCATACTCCGGTTCACGGGCGAATGAATTGCTAGAAATAGTACATTCCGATCTATGTGGTCCGATGGAGACCTTCATAGATAATTATTCGCGAAAGTATATGTGTATTTTTGAAGAACAAGTTGGATATAAAATCCGTGTTTGAGAAGTACAAAAATGAAGTTGAAAACGAGTTAGATAAGAAAATTAAGGTATTGAGAAGTGACAATGGGAAATAATATTGCAATAAAGTATTCTCTGACTTTCTAGCGGTTTCCGGCATCAAACACCAGACTAGCGCTCCGTACACTTCAGAACAAAACGGACTTTCAGAACGCATGAACCGTCCTCTGGTAGAGCGCGCTAAATGCATGTTGTTTGAGGCAAAACTGCAGAAAGAATTCTGGGCTGAGGCAATTGCTGTTGCCGCCTATGTTGTCAATAGATCGCCATCACGGGTTTTAGCTGAGGTAACACCGTTTGAAATGTGGATGGGTAAGAAACCAAATATTAATAAATAAAAAGATCTTTAAATATTAAACATTTAAAGATCTTTGGTATGAAAGCCATGATCCATGTACTAACACAAAAGAGGCTGAAATGGGATCCGAAATCACGTGATTTATTTTTCGTGAGTTATTGCGAAAATACGAAAGGTTACAGACTGTATGACTCAAACACTAAACAGGTAGTTGTCAGCAGGGATGTGATATTTATCGAAAAATGCACGAGTGCAAATAAAATCACACCGGTCCCTGATCGAATGTCAAGGCTTAGTACCGTGCCTCTATCTTCACAAATCGTGAGTACGAACACAGATGAGTGTACTGAGGAAAGAGAGAATCCACAGAATGAGACGCAGAATGTTACTTTATCACCTGATACTTCTTTTGACAGCTGCGCGAATAGAGCAAGTGATGATGAAACTTACTGTCCTAATACGAGTGATGATTATGATAGTAACGAACGCTTTGATCGGACTATCACTTTGAGATCGCACCAGAAAGGTAATAATTTCATGTGAGATCCGCTGACTGTGAAAGAGGCTACATCGTACCCAAAGCTGGCCTTCTGTTCTAAGATGATGGGGATATGTTTAAGGGAGGATGTTGGAGCGTAAACATACTCCTTGTTCGAAGTACGATGACTTTAGTTTCACGAGTAAAAAATAATTCTCTCATAACTGTCTTCTCTATCAAACTGAACTTTCTGTTTCCTTAATATTTCTACTTCTATATTATATTCGCGTTTACATTGCTAGTTCGTATTATTTCCCACACGTACAAAGAATTATAATGAGATACGGATTGCAAGGCGTCGTAAAGGAAATAATTAACTTAAATTACTACTCATATTTATTTCGTCCATACGATTCGATGTTTTATTCATGAATAGATATCGACAAATAAAATTTAGTTACATGCATCACCACACATTGAGTGAATGGTTAACGATACGCAATGAGTGGTATAACCCCAAGGCGATCTTATCTTCACTATTAAAATGGTAACAACCGACTGTCTCAGTGCGGAATACACGTCCGATTTTACCATCCGATAGTCTGATCCGACTACCGGAAGGCGCTCGTACCATATAATTGTATGAACACTCAATACACGTCCGATTCGGTTATCGAATCGAACGTGACGTCACATTCGAGTCGGGAATGGCATCCGATTTTTTTACCGGTCCGATTGTCTGAAGGTGCGCTCTCTATTCTCTATACTTTTGCGGGGAGGCGAAATACACGTCCGATTCTTCCCTCCGATATGCAGCTTTCAGCTTTGCCAATGCAAATTATGCAAAATGCCCAAAAATCAAGATTATAAATTTGGGGAGAGCAAAGATCATATTTCCCACATGTAATAATATTTATTCACTCTCAGTCATTATTATATTATTATTGTTACACTTAAAAATATATCAAATAATTAAGAAATACAAAATGAGCTCATCTATACATATACGTTAGGTATGCTATAATTAGAAATAAACTTAACAAGCTTAAATAAATAAATAAATAAAGCTTGACGAGTGGCACGTTGTGGTATTACAGGTTGTGAGTATAGTGTTCTGAGATTACAGGTATATACACCTCGGGACGTAGACGGGTCGTGCTCCGTCAGGGGCTCAAAAAAATATCGTTGCGTATATTTTGTATGTACTCGTTCACACATGTCCGTGTCCAGGCCGACGCACAGTGCAGCAGTGGGCTGAAAATCGGCTTTCATAGACTTGGGGATTTTTATTTTAAAGTGTCTTTTTTGCTGGAAATAGGTTCGGCTCTCTATTACTATGCTCAAATTTATCAAGCGAGTTAGTTTGACATGAAAACTGATTAGATATATTTAAAAAAAAGAATTGTATGGAGCTGATTGGAAAAAATCATTATATCTCTGGAACCGCAAGTAAAACCTTTACAGAGGGTTATGGTATTAATTATTTGTGATTTTTTGACATACTTCATATAACAGTAAATAGTGCAGATTTTTTTTAATATTAAATAAAAATATTTCGGTGACGACAAGTTTTAATGCGAAAGATAATAAATGCGCATTATTAAGATGTAGTTACTTAAAAATATATTATTATAAAAAAATTAAGAATAAAATAAAAATAGCAATAATGAAGAGTTACAATTAATCAAAATACATTGGTTTAAAATTGTATACACACATATATATATATTACTTACCGTGCTAGAAGATGTCGGTTCGAATCCGGCCGGATCGAAGAAATTTTTTCTGAGTGTTCGATCTTTGTATTAATAATTATAACAAACTAGTGGATAATTCTCAAAAAATAATTGAATATCAATTCAATAAAAATTTAAAATCTAAATCTATTGAAAATCTTGTATTTAGAACTAATTACTCAGCAGTATAATTATAATTTGTGACCGTGTCCATACTCTGAAATATCACTCATTTAGGCTCATTAGTTAATTAATACGCGGTATTTTGACGAGTTCCTGTAAAATTTTATTCGAAATACATTGTAATCACGGTTACCTAATGAAATACGTTCATATTTATTACAACTGATCTGGAATCAGACGAAAAGCATAGAATGTATCAGCTGCTTATCATCCCGTGCAAGTCGTAAAAGTCGACTGAGGGATTGGATTTAATAGTGTTGTATATAGGCGACAGGTTGGCAACCTGTCATTACTTACACTATTGTATTACACGTCTCTCTAACTGGTTGTAAAATATTAGTAAGACTGTTTACTGGTGGATAATTGTCATCAGCTCCCAAAGTACAGGGCTGCCCTAGTTTGGGAACTGATTGATGGCCTGTCCACTTGCTGTTTTGACAGATTATGTACAACTCACGATTTGTATTTATTTATCACCTTTAGGTATTTGTATTACTGTTGTTATACTGAATAAATTATTTATTATTATTATTTGGTGCACTAAGCTACACAAAAATCGGTTTTATTAATTATAGAATCCTAACCCAAACATTTGCCCAACGTTACTTTAGTAACTTTGTGTCACTCAAAGCTCTGTCTACCCCTATAGGAGACAGGCACAACGGTATGTATGTATGTACATTTTAAAATATGCATTTGTTATCTTTCGCATTAAAATTTGTCACCAAAGGTGTTTTTTGATTGTTTTTAAAAAATTCCGCAGCGTTTATCGTTATATGAAGTATGTGAAAAAAATCACAAATAATTAGTACTACTATAACCGCCTGTGAGGATATTACGGTTTCCCTTGCGGTTCCAGATATAATGATTTTTCATATTATCAGCTCCATACAATATTTTTGAAAAAAATGTAGATAATCAGTTTTCATGTCAAACTAACTCGCTTGATAAATTTGAGCATAGTAATACAGAACCGAATCTATTTCCAGCAAAAAAATACACTTTAAAATAAAAGTCCCTAAGTCTTTGAAAGCCGATTTTCAGCCCACTGTGCGGCGCCGGGACGTGCTCACAGTTCATACAAACTAGCACGCCCCGTCCACGTTCCGGGCATGGCCCTGATGGGTGTGGATAGTTTAGTAGAACAGCTGTATTCTTTTTTCACACCGGGGATCGGTCAAAACGCGAGGAAGGTTCGCGCGCTCAACACGCACCGACTGATCATCTTTTTTTTTTTGAGTTGTTGAGTTGAAATTCCCTGCGTTTGGGGAATTCCCGAATTGGCGACACTTCAGTTAGTTCAGAAAAGTCTGACAAAAGAATCGGCCGTGTATTGAGTGAATCCGATAATCCGACCATCAGACACGAAATCGGACGTGTAAACCCGCGCTTAGGGTCGTATTACAGAACTCTACTTAATGCTCGAGTCAGGACTTGAGTATGATTTCAAGCAATGGAAATCATACTCAAGTCGTTGCCATTAGAGTCGTATTTCCAGTGCTTGATTTCGTACTCAAGTCCTCACTTGAGCATTGAGTAGTTCTGGAGCGTTGACTGCGTATGTATCGCGCATTTTTATAAGATATTGTTTTAATTTTGTCTGCTGTTAATTTCAGTTAATTTTTGAAATGAAGCAACTACATGAAATTCTATATAAGCTTCTTGCTTGCAATGCGATGTTTGCGCGCGTTTAGAATATACAAAGAGTATGCAAATGCTCCAATGAATGCTTCAGCATTTGAGATGAGAATTTCAGTTCTCTTATGTAAAAGGATTTATGGTCAATGAACGAAAATAATAAATCAAAGTATATTATTGGAATAAATATCATTCTATGATAAAGACGTAAAATAAATAAATTATTTCCTCTAAAAACTAAAAAGTGTGGAGATTTAAAAATTGTTTTCAAAGACTTGCAGAAGTCTTTTAATCTCGGCTACCCTAGCTGCTTGTGCCTGTACAGGGATCATGGCTTGAGAAACTTCTTCACCCTTGGCTAAAATTGTGTACATGCTTTTGATATTATTATCCATTGCATCACATGTTTTGCTCACAGCATCTTTATAAACTTCCATATTTTCTGCTGTCAATGAAGAATTGGAGTGTAAAATTCCTGATAGGTTTTCAATTAGATTATCTACTGATTGGGCTATTCTTTGTGCTTCATATTCGAGATCATTTAATACTGTGATATCTATTTGTCCAATTTGTGGAGCTAAGATTTGTCTGTAAAGTTTTCCCGAGGGTGTACTAGATCGGGAAGGATTACTGCTGCCAAAAACAGGGGTTTCTCCACGTTTTGTAATAGGACTTGATAGTTTTATTTTGAATTCTAAATCATCTGCTACATAATGTGTCATGTCACCTTCATATCTAACATGGCCATCCATATCTAAAGGGAGTTTTTCTTGTTTTCTGTTCTCTGATGGTAAATTGTAAGGTCGTGAAGGGCCAGCCTTGCTATCGTTGAGGTCCTGGCCGTGGTCCGAGTGGAATGAAATTTCGCTGTATGATGCAGTCATTCGAGCTGTAATTTCATCGTCTATGTCTGCGTCGCTTTGTGGTTTGTTAGTGTTTCCAAAATCTTTGACATCGGAAGTTGGAGATACCTGTTCAGTTGTAGTTCTTTCCATTATGGATAAATCCTGAAAAGGTAGAATACTTGAATTAGAAGTTTATCCTTTTATCGTATAACTTGCGGAAATAACACTGATAAATATTTCGCCTACGAGAGTATTGTATTAAAGTACGTATAAAGGCCTTAAATTTTATATCTACGTTTAGTTTAGTTTTATTTTTTAAATCGTAAAAAGACTAACCTAAATCAAAATATTATTATTTCCTTTAAGGCGGCCACTAGACTTGTGCCAGTGTCAGTTTTACAGTAATATTATAAAAATTATGGCGATCATCGCCAGTATCAGAGAATAACCGAAAATCCAATGAAATTATTCGCTTACTTCTAGTGCATTAAAAATTTGACTTGCCAAAATGACATTGAACGAATGCATGTAATATTCTGCCTCTTTATAGTTTATGGACGAATGAACGAGTTAGTTGTTTTGAGAAGCAATCAATAAAATTAACATTAAAGGGTTGCCATTTGAATGAAATTAAGCATGTATCTGAACGCAAATTCGTTTTCTAACGTTGGCGGCAGCCACAAAACGTCAAATTTGCGGGAATTTTTGACAGTTGTCAATAAAAACAGCTCGGGTGATAGTTTTCTTTTGAAATTGCTGTGAAATATTGCGTTTGAAATTATTTAGCTTAGATTTGTACCGTTTCATTTCCTAAAATATTGGTTTTGTTATGCTAAGGTGACTTTTATTGGTGAGTCAAGTCTTTCGCCAGCTGCTGAAAGCTAACGTTTTCCCAGCTGCCCTTTTAACATGGCGCTCAGACGACATGTGCGGACGATAACGCTCATCCTTTGTCGTGTTAGCTTTTATTTTGAGTGCTAATCATTTCATTTTCTTCAATTATTGAGTGTGTGTTACGTTGATGATCTGTTAAAACAACAGATTAGAGGGTTTGTTTATGACATTTGACGGTTAAATAGCAAGCACTGCAATGGTGAAAACCCGTCGCAGTAACGGAGAGAATGGGGAGGTTGACGAGGGGAATGATACTCTTAACGACGTTGGCAGTGTCTCAGACGAGAAGGTGATCCTTCTTCATTCATAATAGTTTGCTGTGGGGTGGTTTTAAACCTCTGCTTTGTTTAGAATGCGCCTGTGTAATGCCAACTTCCTGTCCTCCATTCCCTGAGTGTGTGTTGCAATTGCACGTAGATGCATGTGCTTTTTTTGTTATTTTGGTTATCGCAATATCCAGGATGTGATTTGCACAAGTTGTAAGGCCTACAATTGCAAATTATTTGAAAATATTCTGCAAAATAAGTACTTTGAATGAACATAAGAAATCCGACAAGTTTTTCTTGGTCATACCAATAACTTTCATGAGCAATAGTATTCATAACAAAGCATGATTGTTTTTCTTACTGAGCCCTGCCGAGGAAAGCAATGGTACAATTAAAAATATATAATTATATGGACCCACACATTTGTCTATAATTACACACACTATCTAAAGAGTATTATACAGAATTATATATTTTTTAGTATCATTAGTATGCAACATTAAATTAAGAAATTAATATTGAAATGTAATGTATCATACAATTAACCGAAAGAAATGTACTGTAACATGAAATACATAGCCCAAAGCGTGTTCTTAAAACAAAATACACAATAGTTTAGTTTAGTTAGCAAATAGTTATTACACAAACATCATCACGTCTGTTACAATTTGGGTGCCTTGCCTAAGCTTATGGCAATCCATTTTCTATAACTCTGATATACTGGTTTTTTTAATAATATTGAACCTTTTTATTTTGGTTGCAATCTTTATAAATGGGATAGAAAGTATGTGTGTAATTTTCATGAAACAGTTTTCTTCTTTCTGTTTTCTCTAAAGTTTTAGTGAAAAGCTTGCTAAAAATGAAAAACGTATTTTAAAACAGAAAGGTTGGATGCTTGTACACACACTATTGCTTCTGACGCTATACCTTTAGCATGAAAGAGCAACTTCCTGAATTTCGTTTTTACTAATTTTGTGACAATCTGCTTTAAAAATAAGTAGCAAAAAGTTAGAAAGCAAATAAAGAAAATTTAAGTTGTACTGAAAATAAGTAATAGTCAAATCTCATACATGCTTGAAACATCGTTTTATTAGCATTAGATTATGGTTCTAGATTTTAAGCCACACCTATTGTAACTATACTATTATTTTGCAATGGTTTGTTGTTTTTATTTTAAAATTATCCATGTTTTTAGGCAACTAATTGGACACAAAGAGAATTGAGAAGCAGTCAGTATAAAGTTACTAGGAAAATACAGCGTTGGCCCAACAAATGTGAGTTATTTTGCAATTCATTACATTGTTTAACCCATTTATGGACAGTACTTACTTAAGTAGTACTGCACACACAAATGTTACTATTGTCCATTTTACATAGGATGAGTCTTGTGACATTTCCAATTTTTACATTGCACACATACTATTTATAAGTAATCTGTCAACAGCTTACAAAAAGAAATAGTAAATTTGTCATAATGTACCAAAAACAAACAATATTTGTTGCAGTTTTAACTAAAAATTAGAGTATATTAAGTAGAAAGACACTGAAATAACAAAGATAAAAATAATTTAATAAATATAAATATATAAAATAATAAAACGGAATATTTTATCCATAGAGATTTTCTTCACACTCACATTTTTTTTATACTTAAGAATTCCATCAATTCCAATGTCAATGGACTTTACTGATTATGCAACCATTAGTAATGAGTTAGCCGAGATTACTCATGGTTGTATTCCTAGTAGCAAATAAAAACAGTCCTAATACAAAATCACCTGAGTATGTAAATTACATAAGTATTTTTAGAAATATAACTGAATCCTTAATAAAAGCATTCATATTTATTATAGCAATACTCGTTTGCCAATATATTCTGCTGTGTGGTTTTCACTGTATGTAAAATAATACAGAGATCAAAATAGACATAGCATATTTACCTAAACTTCAAGAAGAGTGTATAATACCTCCCTCTGATATTAAGTAATGTTTAAAAATAAAAAGCAAAAGTAACAAAAAAAATAGTTCTATTTTTACTCACATTTACACAACTTTTTTCTAAATGCACTAAAAGTAAGCGTTAATTACATGTAAAAATTATAAATAAAATATTAATAATAGTTAGCACATACAGACCCACTGCTGGACAGGAATACTCTCACAATAAGAGGGCTCCGGCTGTAGTTCCCATGCAGGTTCATTGCTGATTGGGAACTTCATACACATCATTAAATTGCTTTGCAAATGTGAGCAGCTTTCCTCGCGATGTTTTCCTTCACCAAAAAGTTCTGGTGAAATGGTAAATTTCAAATTAAATTTTGCACATATAAGTTCCGAAAAACTCATAGGTGCAAGCCTGGAGTCGTACCAACAACCAAGGCTGTTTCTACTTTTTGGCTATAGCTTTTTGCCTATTTTCAGGGGAGTGATTTCACCCATTAATATGAGGAATTTTTATTATGAGGATCCCACATTATGTAAAAAAATAGTACAGAGCTGATTGCTCCTCCAAAAAGTAAATGCTTTTTGTCACTAGAAACATCCTTCTTCTGTTGTAATGCAATTACGTAAAAACCTTGTATAAGGATTAACTTTGCACTTGTTAAACCTACACATGGCACAGCTAATATTGTTATGCAGAAACCGTGTGTTTTCAATTTTAAAATAAAAATACGTAGAAATGCATCTTTAAAATAATTTAAAGCGTCTATGAGGTCTCACAGCTAGGCTCAAAATGCGTTTATTTTACTTATTTTTTTTGTAAATTTGCAATTTTTGGTTTTTTTACGATTTTATTGCAATGTTATCGAAACTCAACTGCCCTCCGTGGCCGAACGGTTACCATATTGGACTCACACGCAGAGGTCTCGAGTTCGATTCCCGGGTCGGGAGGAATATTTGTATGGCTTATTATAAATGTATGGCCTACATTTATTTATCTTTCGTGAGTTTGGGTGTAATTTGAGGTTGTCTATGTCGCGATAGGCTTCCCTAGTGGGGGATATGAGTGAGTAAAAAAAGAGTGTTATAGTATTAAATTAGTTTTAAACACCGTATTTGCAGGTCGATTCAGAACCTTACGATAACTCTATTATCGACCGATTCGATTTGACATCGTACAATTTCTTTTCATTTTTATTCACAATAATCGAATCGATCGTCAAACTGTCGTATTGGAAACCGAACCGAAATGACGTCACACCTGTACGACTACTCGAACTTTTCGACCGGCAAAGGCTTCAAACGTTATTCAGAACACAGTTGTCGAATGAAAGTTACCGAACGTCCTATTTTACAAAGCAAGAATGTAATATGGAAATCTTTTATTATTTTAAATAAAATATGGATTTTGTTCAATTTTATTAATTTATTTTAATTAAGACTAAAGCATTCCTATATTTTAGGCCTTTAAAGCCTTAAAAATGTATATAAAAGGATTTCATTTATCTTATAATCTACATTCGCCGACTAACTCCGTAAACGTTGTTGGATAACGATATCGAATTCGATGAGGAACTAAATGGAGAATTCTACAGTACTACAGTTAGGCGAGCTACAATATAGCACAGCGTAGTTGTTCTTTTTGTTCAGATCGTCAACGCAGAGTGCGTGCCATCAAGATGTCTCGTATCATGTTCCCTGAAAGTGACACCGAACCAGAGAAGTATTCTAAGCGGTAAGAGGTTACAGTGATCACCAGTGGTCGGAATAGGCTGTACCAAATGAATAGATAAATGTCTACATACAGTGGTGGTCGTAGAATTAAGAACGATTAATGACATAAAGCAGTGTAGAATTAATTTAAAATATGCTCTGATAATGTTAAACAATATTATCTGGACTGACCTATTTTATATAACGTAATAATCTTGTCTGAATAATGGTACCTATATATTTTTTTATTTATTAAATTACAATCACTTAGTTACTTCCCGGAACACTGGTTGGACAAATAATTAAGAACTAAAATACTGATTGCTACTATTACTAAAATATTATTTTCTTTTTTACTATTTTGAAAATGGACTACGATAATTCTTCATTACCATTACTATGTCCTATGCGCGGCATCTGCGGTTTAAGAACGATTTGTGCTATTATTCGTAGAAAATGTGGGAAAAAAATAAATGTTGTGACTCTGCTACAAGAGAAGTTATAATAAAGCTGCATGGTCGTAAGTAGTCATATCAGAAAATTGCAGATCATTTGCATTGCTCAAAAATGGAGGCATATCTCGCCGTGAAACATTTTAAAACACACCAGACAACTTTGAATATTCCCCGTAAACCTAAAGCAAGAAAGTTTGGTGAGAACAATCCTCGCGCAGTTTCTGCGCGCACCGTTTGGGGACGCTTGGTCGAGGCACACTTATTTGGGATGGTAACAAGGAAGATGCCCATGTTGATATCACGACGTAGACCGGCCCGACTTGCGTTCACAAGGAAGTATGAAAACGGGACAGAGGCACAGTGGAAGTATCTACTTTTCTCGGATGAAACTAAAATTAACAGACTGCTTTGATGGCAAGCAGTACGTACGCTTACGAATATGGCATTTAATCCAAAATATACAAAAAAGACAGTGTAACACGGTGGTGGAAACATTATGATTTGGGGTTGCTTTTCTGGTTATAGCGTAGGACCTACTAGGCTGATACAAGGTAATATGGACCAAAACCAATACAAACACATTCTTGAGGAATGTATGCTGCCATACGCTGATGACAATCTCCCAGTAATTTGTACATTCCAGCATGACCATGACCTGAAACATACAGCCTACTCTGTTCGAAGATTCCTCAACAGCCAACTGGTAACTGTGTTGGACTGGCCACCAAACAGCCCAGATCTTAATCCAATAGAGCATCTTTGGTGTCAAGTTAAAAAGAGATTGGCAAACATACGGCGTAGTAATGTGAACGAGTTGTACGATGCGTTTTTAGAAGAGTGGAACTCTTTTTCACTTGAAAATTGCAAAAAGTTTATATTAAATTCTTTTTTATTTATCATTATATTATTAAGAAAACGTTTAACTTCTCAAATTATTGAAATATTGTGAATACTACTGTCAAGTTCCTACCTCGTTCTTAATTGTTTGTCCAGCCTCTATCCTATTTCAGTTTAAATAAAATTAAAATGGTTCTTATTTTAACAGTATTTTTAAATATTATTTTTTATTTAATTTTAGATTTTGTTAGCCCAGAATGTGTACTTGCTAGCAATATAGTAAGCATTTTCCAGGAAGGGTTATTATATAGTCGTATTATGAAGCGTTCTTAATTCTATGACCACCGTCATTTCTTAATTCTATGATCATCGTTAATGACCACCGTTCTATACAGTTATAGATACGAGGAGTGACGTAGAGTTAAAACCCCCAAATATTAATTAATTACTTTTCGAATTCCGGATGTCCGGAAATAGTTTTACTGCATTGTAGGATAAAACTGCTCACCTAGGAAGCTAAAGTTGTATTTTAAAGTAATTAAAGTGGCGCCATGTAAAAAAAATGCAGTAGATACATTGACTTACAATTATATGGACGTCGCGTCGGGTCCGCGCTAAAAAGTGTCCGCACTTGTAAGGCGCTAAAATCGTATACAGAGCGCGACACTCCGCTTTAGTCTTCATTTGTTCTACGGACAGCGCGATACTGCGACGACATAACAATTTAAATTTCGAATAGGTTGACTTGGGACATTTTTTTCGTGGTTTTTGTATTAGACCCGTCGTCCATTTATTTGTAAGTCAATGAGTAGATAACTAACTTTTCACCAAACTTAGATTGTAGATACTTGTATGTTCATCCATAAGATACAATAAGCTATCGGAAATCCGGAAGTCGAAAAAAGTGATTAATTAATATATGTAATATGTGTGATTTTAACTACTTTAAGTCATTTTTTGTATCTATATAATATATACACATTTATCTGCTCGTTTGGACATCCCATTCCTATCACTGGTGATCACAATAGATCAATACGCAATTTTTTTTCATAATTAATATCGATCATAATGAACATACACAGCCAAGAAAAATAATTTCATTTAAATAAAGGCTGTTAGGTACCCACAACGATGTACAAATGAAATTTAAAATATGCCGCGCAAATGCTTCGGATCAGGGTGTTTATAGTACAGTCGTTGTTTTCGATTTCCATAACACAAGTACTCTGGTTACTGACTTTCGAATCAGGTGCTTTGCTCTCGTTCTCCGTCCGCAATGCTTCCGAAACAATTACTGGCAAATAAGTATGCTCGACCAAATTTAAAGACGCATGATGCGAATGAACCTTCATACTTAGATAGATAAACGCTTTATTCACTGATATAACACAAATACAGATTAAGCATAAAAGAAAAAACATAACATGATTGTCATGGCAGTGAAACGGCGCTGACTCAGCATATGTCAAAGATGCCTGCAGCTAGCTTTCAGCAGCTAGTTTTCAGTCAGGACCAACGAGAGGGATTAAGTTATTTGAAAGCAAAAATATAACGACTATGCGTAATGTTATACATTGACAATAATAATATACATAGTAAAGTGTAAATAGTGCATCTAAAATAACCTGTTTAATACGTAAGTGCATGAGCGAGTGTGAATATAATTACAGCTGTGGGTACTCCCACAGCTGTAATTATATTACATAAATAAATTAAATAAGTAAATTGTGATCGTAAAGAGGTTTCAATGTTGTATAATGTATTTAGTATATAATATAATTATACACATAATGTGAATAGATCAAAGCAACAACAAAATTCGATACTAGATAGACTACGTAAAAGAATAAAAACACACTACACAGATTTTTTAAGTGAGAGTATGTGTTGCCGGTACAGTGCTTTGAATTTGGGTTTGGATGTCTCGTAGCTTATAGGTGGTGGATTATTATTCCTGCACTTTGAGGCCCAGTATTTGAAACTACCTCGAAACTTGAATTGCCTTTTAATGTGGTCGAGGACTTATTTTAAAGTAATTGTTTCGGATGGAGAATGAAAGTAGACTCCCAGAACAACATATGTGATGTTGTATTTATATTTATATTATTATATTTCTTTATACCATGCCCTATTGCACACATGTATGACAGATTTATTAAGCGGCTTTATACATATAAAGTACCAACATGGTACATAAATAGACTGAGGCAGCCTGCTATTCCTTAAAACTCAGTGGTGTCCTAAATTGACCTGTAGCTGGACAAAACATTTAAGATAGCCGCACTTACAATTTTTTTCAGACGTTTGTCCAAGTCCAAGATAATTTTGACATTCACTTAGCATGCAATTGTTGGACGAATGGAGTGGCATAAATTATTTTCCGTTTAGTTCTAGAAAAGTGCGCGTATTCTTTGCCGAAGACAATGACACGAGCAACCGCAGCGTGACCATTCGGCGTAGCCGTGGCCCGCGCAAGAATTACATCGAGGCGCACGAGACGCAAGAAGACAGCGAAGACAAACCTATCCAACAAAGTATGTTACAAAGAACTTAGGGTCATATCATACATGTGTTATTTGAGCGAAGACGATGCGACGTGGCAGTTATAAATTTCTATGACAGTATGCTTAGCGACGGTAAAGTTTAAGGCTCCATATACTTTGGCATGGTACGGAATGGAACCGGACATTTGTAATGAAATAGTATGTACATAATTAACTTTATGTCAATTGTGTGTGAGTAGCAGTAGAACTCCTCGTGAAAGAGTTCGTTTAGAGAAGTACTACCATCTTACCTATTTCTGCCGCCAAGCAGTAACGTGAGCATTATTGTGTTCCGGTTTTGGAGGGTAAGGGTGCTGGTGAAATTACAGGCACATGGGACTTGTCAAATTGTCACACGGTGACAGTCGCAGCGGCGGTGTCCCTTAGATCTTTGCGATTTAAAGCTCTGAGTGGCACCGCAACTGCTATGTCACTTACCACCAGGCACCCGACTTGTCCATCTCGTCACTTGGAGTTCTAAAAAAAACATACAAACTAGATACGAGCTAAAAACAAGTCGCGCGTCTTTCGGAGAATCCTCGATTAGTCTCCGGAATTCTAGCAACTACAATCTCATATTTAGTTTGTATGTTACACAAAGTTAAAGTTTATTATCGTATGTACGTACAAAAGACAATTGGACGTTGGCGATCGCTATATTTTTTGTATCAGTTTTACAATATATTTATAATTACTAAGCGGAAAACTCGATACTGGCGAAATCCTAAAATGACAGCGCCAATAAGCAACAAACAACAAGAAGAAATTTCGTTACAAAAATTCGCTGAAATTCTGTTATGCACCAATGTAAATTGAGCCTAAGCTTTGCAGCGATACCTGTTGTAGCGATACTTCTTGTAATTGCTAAGATATAGACATACGTAGAATCCATGTACACGTCTGCATTTCTTGATCTGCGACACAGTGTAGCCATCTATCTTGACCGTTTAGTCGGCATTTACATATTTTATATCGTTATTATTATTATTATTAGTATTTTCTGCAACCGGCAATGTTCGGTGTTCAGATGTGCGCCGCAGCGGTCGCCAGCGCAAGCTCCTACATCACAACTTCAACGAGAGCTGGATCACGAACGAGCTCAAAGTTAAAGGATACCCAGATTTATATGGATTCGGAGGTTTCAGTTCTTCGGAAGAGTTTACATCGGGAGACGAGGGCAGAGTTTCCACTAAAAGATTGGTAAGTTTTAAAATTCAACCCTGTATTGGTCATATATAATTTATTGCTGTATTCGAAGTACTCGTATATTCATATTCATTTATTTGCATTTCACATGGATGATAAACTTACACATAAGTATGTATAAGTAAGTAAGGGTGTAGCAAAGTTACAATGAAATTTAAATATATTGCAAGCTTGAACGTAGTTAATTAGTTTAGATAATTATAATATACATTCATAATTATAATATACATGAATGTATAATTATATTATACATTCTATAATTATTAATAAACATAATTATTACACAATATTTTTATCTTAAATATAATGAAATTATTATTTTTATAATTATTAAACATTTTTATTACTATTACATTTAATTTAATTTCATTTATTGCATATTATTTTTATTTATTTATTTTATTGCATATGGTATTACAGGGAGTTCCCTAGTTTGAGTCCAGGTAATTTATTTGGTAGTCTGGTACATTTTAAATATTATTTATAATAGGTTTTTCCTTGGTAACGTCGCTCCATCATCGACATCATATTGTTTAAGAAGGTCCTAGATTGAAATTATAAAAAAAATAATAATGTGAACTTACTGTACTAACTCGCGATCTGTATAATATATTGCATATATTCTATTGTAAGAATATGTCTATGTACCCTTAAGAAAGAATGAAGGAACGAATAAGAAGACATGTTACGGTAGCAACAGTTTCTTAAAAAGAACTTGTTCCTGGACAACAGAAAATTTAAAGAAATTGAAATGTTCGACACTTCTTTGCAGAAGTTTAAAGTTACGTAGCGAATCAAATTTTGAGGCGGATATATTTATTAAATTTATTATCTTTGTATTTACATATATTGTACATTATACTTGTTTACCTTTTATGAGTACAGGAAACTACAGGTTTAGTACTAAATAAAAGTTAAACTTTTAGAATTGTAAAAAAAAAACTGTTAAAAAGTTCCTTTGTGAAAAGAAAAAAGGAGATAAACATATCAACAAACATATCAGTCACGTGTGCGTAGTCGTACAGTAGAATTTAAGATAGATGTGGCCATAGATCACGATTGTCAAACTTTGAAAAATTTTGATGTAATTTGCGTTTTTCTTTAACCTTTTAATAGCTCGTCCAGCTATTAATAAATAGATTGTTAAGAGGAGGTGTTCAAATTCTACAGTGCCAACTATGATACATGTGTTGTTGCATGGTAAATAAATAAATAAATAAATAATATTGTTACGCAGACACGCAGCCATCCTCTACCAGCCAACATGGACGAAGATACACAATTGTCACGACAAAGGCGAACCTCGGCGAGATTCAGCAACAAAAAGACAGCCAATGTGAGAATATGCCCTTAAAATATATTGTATTGTGTACCATATTCCACATAATAGGAGTAAAATTTTCGTCCTTCGGGACAGGCTAAGGCGTCTGCCTTACTGCCAGATCTCAGATTGTAATTTTTCTTCAATAGTTTGTTTTTGACATTTTTTCGCGGAAAATCGTTACATCTTTACTGTGGTCATTTTGAAACTTTTGTCACAGATAATATCGAGTCATTGCCGCCGTCTTACTGTAAGTGACAAGAAACAAACTTCACAGAAGTTTTTCTTTTTTAATATTTCTACACATTATAAATGTGATACTAAATTAAATTTTAGTAATAATAAATTTTGTAATCGATTGTGTAACAACAATTTCTTTTTTTGAACAAAGGATGGTAAGCCTTTTTTGGCGCTTACGCTATTTTTGCTATCTCGGCTTTCAGGCGTTTAAGGTAACACTTGCGATTAAAAATATGCAACAAAATGCGGCACGTTCTTTGCCACTTTGTTTATGTTACCCGGCGGAATTGTGATATGACTATGTCGGTTGCATGTAGGGTTGCTTACGTTGTGATTGTTTAATATTGATTCTGTCGGCTACACCAAAATATAAAAACAGTTGAGCTAACGATAAACTTAGTTATGCAATTTTGGCGGGAAATGTCGACGGAGCCTTGTCCGTTATAGTTTAAAATATAATTTGTAATAACAAATGCTATTTTGGTAAAAATGTCGCTTACAATAAGTCGACGGTCATGGCTCTATATGTACGTTTTTTGTTAAATTTGGGGGTTGGACCCAGGATTTTGGAGACAACAAAAAGTGGCAATATTAGTGAGGTAGCACCAGTCAACGTGTTAAGTTTATGTAACCAGTTTGTCGCATACCTCTTACTTCCGCTTCCATATTGCTAGAGTCTATCACTCACAATTACACAAATTCAAATTCATTTAAATTTGAATATAAGTCAGTTGCACAGTTGTATGTGAGCTAATAATTAAAACCGTTGATCATAATTTAAAAATTATCGCATCTTAACAGGACGCGACGGAATCAGATACAGAAGACGAAAACAATCAAACAGTGATAGAGAAGAAGCCACCAACCATTGTGAACAAAGACAGTAAGGCAGACGAGAAGATGGACGCCGAGACAGAAACAAAAGATGAACCTAATAATGAGGAGCAGCCCGTGAAAGAAGAGGACAAAGAGAGGTTTGTTCCTTCTCTTTGCTTTTCTATTCTCTTAATATATCTCAGCAATCTTCGGATTTCTAAATGCACCCGAATACTAATTTCAATGTCTAGTAATATTATTATTAAGTTTATATTGTTTACATTTTATTATTAACCACCATGATATTCAATTATTTTTGTGAAATTACTCAACTAAATTGTTGTTATTGTTAACACAAAGATTGAACACCACGAAATATTCCTTCGATCCGACTTAACGATACGTACTTTATTGTTTTGGTTTTCATGTGAGCTGTATACAGCTGTAAAACAGTTTTCCTTTTTAGAATAACATTTACTCCTTAACAATACATCAAGGAAGTTAACAAAAGTATAACCAAAATAAAGAATAGTAAGGACTCTATATATTTCTAAGTCGATTGAGTGCTTCCGGCCTGCACCAAGTGCAAAGGGCAGCTGATAGAGATCCGATGACAGCCGAAACACGAAGATTGCCGAGAGATATTACGTTGTATTGTTAACTTGAGTCCCTCAAGTCTGAGGATCGTGGTTAGCTTCGTACCTACTGTTGAAGAGGGTGATCTGCCTCCATTTGTTTTTTTCCATCAGTAACTTAACTGGCGATGACACAACTATTTTTTGTGACGTTCATCTAGGTCCTCATGGTAAAAGTTGTTTGGCTTCGTTTACTGAACATGCCCAGGTTGTCAGTTATACTTGATAAGAATTTTAATTTTGTATTTTTGTTTATAGTAATCAAGCTCCTGCAAGATCTACTAGAGCTAGAAGAAGAAGACAGAAGAAAGGCAACAGCCAGGAAACAGGTAAATTAAATTTAGTAGAAGAACAAAACTTATTTTTATTTATGTGTCATAGGTTATCATAACATAGAATGTTGATTTCGGTGAGGGAAGTATGTTGATTAATTTTGTTTTCTTTGGGTATTACACACAATTTGAGTTAATAATTTTAATCCTGGTGGTTTTATGGATAGAAATGGCGACAATGTCATTTAAAATTAGATATATTTTGTACGTAATAGATATACATAATATTAATGTGAATAAGAGTGAAGGTGAATGGGTCATTGACACTCGCGACTATTTTTCGCATCCTTCTTGTTTATTATACGTTTTATTATCTTTAATTTAAAGAAGTGTAAATGTTTTTTTTTATTGCCACAGGTCAAACTATACACGCTGTCACTTTTTAGACTGCATTTTTTGAACTATCTGTGTCAATAAAGTACAAATTTTCAATAGAGAATTTTGACACGAGTGTATATTCTTAGCTGTGACCTGTCATTTAGACAAAGGATCTAGGTTACTAACAGTACTAAACAATTTGTACGTAGCGTCAGAATCGTCATCATCGGAATCAGGCAGCGAGTTGACGCTGACGCGGCAGCCGCGTCGCTCCAATCGCACCCGGCAATCGAAACCGACGTTCGTGCAGTTGGGCCAGAGAGAAACACGAGGTAGAGGTTGGTCTTATTACTTTTTAGGCTAAGGACAAATTTTGCAGTGGAAAGAAAAGACAAAAACACTGAATGAGACGGTCTCAATTTCGCTCGATTGTTACATGTTGAATACATACGTTAATTTTCCCGCAAAATCTGTAAACAATGTGAAATTAGTGATATGCTTGCACTGCGAATTGAAAATATCGCTGTGTTTTGTAGAAGCTTCTTGTAGAGTGTAAGCGACATTTCGAAAAAAAATCAGGAGACTAGGTTTTCACGACTGTTTTAAAATATTTACGTCCTGTTTTAAAATTAAATTTTATAAAATATTAAACATGCCTCGAAAGAATTGTCGCTTAAGTGCTTTCTACAAAACACCGACGACGAAAAATAGCGTACGCTCTCGGAGCGTAGGGTTGTCACATTATAATTTTAGTTGTACAGGTTGCAAATATAATTCTCGTGCTATATTGAAATAATCTTTGTCAAATGCAGAAAGAATTCGTCCAGGCAAGTGCTGCTCCCTTACCTATTTCTGCCGCGAACTAGTAATGTGATCATTACTACGTTCCGGTTTTGAAGGACAGGCGTGTCGCTTACTACCCGGCGGCATGACTTGTTCATCCCGTCACTTGCCATAGTAAAAAATATATAAATGGCGTGTGTGACGTCAAGCGCTGTGCAACTCAAATGCTCCGCGCGACTATGCGAATGTGTGCATCCGTACAGTAGGGCTGCGACGTTTGTATGGAGTTACACTACTTGTCTTATTGCACTGTGATTTTAATATTCATAAATGACCGTCTCTTGTCCAATGGTGACCGGGATATAGTTGCATGTGGACATATTTCTGTTGCTGTATGTACGTATTTTAACAAATTAGTTGTACGTTTCTGTTTATAACAACTCAACATTTTATTGATTTTATAGAGTTCAGAACCCTACATTTATGATGTAGGCAAAATCTAAATCTCTAGGTAGTGTGTATGTTGGAATTATAGTGTTTCAGTAAATATAAATTAAAGCTGCCTTTAACATCGCAGACTGCAAACCGCGGACTGTAGCGGCAGACTGCATACTATACATAGTTTCCGTAAGCGCCAGCAATCGCTATGCTTCACAACAATTTCATTCTAGTTGTAACTATTAGAATCGCTTGCTGTCGGCAATTGCAGTCTGCTTTCTGTAGTTTGTGTTCTGCAGTCTGAATCTTAAGAAAAAATATATTAACTAGATGTCCTTGTAATAAGTTTTTTGTTGCAGCTAAAACTTTTACAATCAGAAAGAAACCATATTGTTTGAGGGAGAGAAAACCCAAGATCCTCAGGCGTAAAACAATTAGATGTAAGTTTTTCTGTTTACAACTTAAAATGAGGGAAAGAAACGGGAAACAGTTTTTGATTACTTCAGCTTGGAAAGGAAAACAATTTTTTTCGGATGTAAATCGTGTATATTTGTTTTTTCAAGCAAACCAATGGTCAGCCGTGATCATGGAATCTGTGAAGAGCCGGGAACGTTGGTTTGTTTGAATAAAAAACATATACGCGAATTTGACCCAAAAAAAAGTTTCCTGTTTCCAATCGCGAGAACCTAAAGCAAAATTGAACAAGAAATATGTGCAGATGAAGTATACATATAATAATATGTATACTGTGGACTGGAAAATAATAAATTCTATATTAGTAATAAAAAATCATCATCAATCAATCAGGGGAAAACACCTTTATGTGCAGCGGGAAAGGTGGAAAGTAAGGGACTTTAGGGTCTAAAATTTTAAAGAATGTATTATGTCCAATTTCGAGAGGAAAGTCGGGTAATCAAAGGACGCTAGCAACTCAAATTTTATCACCAAGCTGGTTGTAGTGGAACAAACCATAGACCACCCCATTGTAAGAATAAATGAAATAAATGAATGTAATATTATTCCAGTAGAATAAGATCCATTGTATTCATATATGTATACAAATACACCATTATTAGCCCAATTATTCTTTTTTAATGGTTTTTTTGTTGTACATTCAAAAATTATAATTACAACACTCAACAATAATATGAGGATATAAGTAAATATGTAATATACAATTTCAAGTGGAGTTTAATATCGTAGACTTCAATCGTAGACCTAGTCAAAGAACGGTAAAGAGCCGACTTTTATCACCCAGGTGGTCCTAGTGGAACATACTATAGACCGTCCCGTTTTATGAATGCATAAACCATTTTTTAAAGCACACTAAAAACTACAAAAGACAATGCGAACCAATAAATTATAAAAACAGGCTAATGAAACGTAAAAGTACACTTATGCAATGAGTTACTATCATAGCTTCTGTCTGCTTGTTAACACTAATTACCGTTCCTGCTAGGCTTTCCGTGTTCCCGTATTCCCGTGTCGTTCTTCACTTATAAACGATTCGATGGAGAATCAAGCCAGACAAGACACTATTTAATACACAGAGTGCATAACCTCCAAAAAGCCTAAAGTGACAACTCTGATGACTGACCTACATGTATTGCGTACGCGTCTCAACGACAAAAATATTAGAATGTTTACATTTGTTTTTTTTTTCAGCACAATCTCCAACGTCAAGCACAAGTAGCAGCAGTTCATCGTGTTCGGATCTAGAGGAAGATCTTAATGTGTCCATGAAAAACAAGTCCAAGGGCAGGTGAGGCTATTTGGCACAGAACTTGTCTTGAACGCACAAAAAAAATCCAACATATTTTTTACTTTTTGTATTGACTTCGCTTAAAATATTGAAATTTCTTTGTAGACAAAAGTCCAAAGCAGTAGACGAGAAGAAGACTGATAGAGCATTGAGGGATATACAACCGATCGAAGTTGACGGAAGCGTTCGGTTTTCGTCGGTAAGTTACAGCCTATCAATTTAAAAGATGCTGATTTAACCCATACGTATCTCATGGCTAGGGACCGGCGAGAGGGAAACCCGGGGGGGTTTTAATGGGGTAGGCCCTCCAGTCTGTAGGGAGAGTCCCCACATAACCGCTGAGTCTCCCTGGGCTCAGGGGTATCCATAAAGATTTCCCCCCGTCAAAAAAAAAAAAGGTACACCCTTCTTACCGCGTAAAGCGAAAGAGCCTGGTGGTATTCATATTCCGTCTCTAGTTAAGCGTGTCGAGCTCTTAAATCTTGTTTAATAATGTGTTGAAACAATGGTTGATATAGCAACCCTATCTCAAGTTTGACAGAATACAAAATGTTCAAACGGCAACACTAAGCGGGAAAGACAGAATTTTGGCTTCACAGAAAACCAGCGTAACGAGGTGTTTTCTCACGTCTCGTTACAGAAAGCTGAGTGGAGACCATTTTGGTAACATTTTTAATGTAATTCTTATATTTTGTGTTATCCTAAGGTTGTTTTATTTTGTTGTCATTCTGTCATATATATTTTCGTAAGGTTACCAAATAAACTATTTTCCTTTCTTTCTTTCTATCAAAAAACAAGCTGTTTTTGGTCTTAGGTGATTGATCGATAATTTTATAAGGAGCGTGTCACAGCTCATTTCGTTTGTCGTTTGCTTATTGTGGAGTTATTTGTCAAGTAGAACGTGCTAACACCATCAGCCCGTGGTGGTGTATGCTAGACACTATTCAGATGCAGGATAGAAACTTTAGACGTCTTCAAAGAGTTCCGTGAATTTTTCAACGTGTATGTTGAAACATATACTTGTGATGAATCACAAGATGCGAAATTACACAATGGTGTGGACCCCCATGGGAATCAAATCCAGGTCTTCCCACATAGTAGTGAGGCTACTATTCCTTGATAAAAGACAATGGTTGATAAAATTGCAGTTGTGACTTAATAAAGGATGGTGACTGGAAATAGAGATGAATTACTGTGTTTTTTTTCTCAGGTTGGCGGTTTAGAAGAACACATAAAATGCCTACGCGAAATGGTACTATTTCCGCTCATGTACCCAGATTTGTTTCAAAAGTTTAACACACGACCAGCAAAAGGTGTCCTGTTTCATGGACCTCCGGGAACAGGCAAGACTCTACTGGCGAGGGCTCTTGCGAATGAATGTAGTCTGGTCGGCGGACGGAAGGTGGCTTTCTTTATGAGAAAAGGAGCTGATTGCTTGAAGAAATGGGTCGGGGAGAGCGAGAGGAATTTGAAACTTTTATTTCAGCAGGTATGGCTTGATGTTTTTTGTGATCTTTAAAATTATTTATAACAAGTTTTAATGTTATTAAAAACTGTAGGTATGTAATAAATGAGCATTTCACGATGTCACCTTTAGGCCACAAATCCGTAACGGGAGTGTGTTCAGCGGGGTGTTCAAGGTTTGTGCGTACGCTCAACGCACCAACGTACGGAATTCGCGGCCTTACACGTTATTTCATTGTTTTTGTACCGTCATCGTCAGTGATATAGGCAATCTAATTAACCTTAAATATTTAAAGTTTTATAATTTAAAGTTCTTTTAGGTATACTTCTAAGGATACATCAAACACTCAAATAATATAAATAACATAAATACTGAGTGCAGAACAGTTCTACAATATGCAGAAATTATGCAATACATATAAGTAGATGCCTTAATAATATGTGTGTCTTGCAGGCGAACAAAATGAAGCCGTCAATAATCTTCTTTGATGAGATCGATGCACTGGCGCCGGTGCGCAGCGTACGACAAGATCAAGTCCACACCAGCGTCGTCGGCACTTTGTTGGCTGAGATGGATGGTCTGTGTGACAGGTTGGTCGTCTACAACATAATGTATGTTAGTGTGAATAGCCTTCGTCTGCCGGTGAACTGTTCATATCGCGTCATTACTTTAAACGTGCAACTTGGTAGACAGCAAACTCGTGATAATGGACGCCAATGTCTGCATTACCATTTTCCACAAGTATAAAGAATTAAAATTTAAATATCCCCCGATACAAAACAATGTACTCCGATCGGACAAGTGGGAAAGTATAATAAATATTCATTTCATTATTCAGATTCCTACACTAACTGAGAAAAGAGCTGATAAATGCCTTCAAATATAAAAAAATCCCTGAATGAGATCAGATCATCCGTCAGGCGCTACATCGAGTATATATATCTGGTTATTATACATAACCTACATATAAACTTATAACTCCTGTTTCTGCGTCTGGGGTTTAAAATGAACTCGTTGTAAAATACCGTACGGAGTTGATTGAAACACGATATTGACAGTTGTAGTAATACAAATTTAATGGCAACACTGGCGTTGACACCTTTTATTAACCATTAATTATAAGACAGCAAAGCTACACATCGATCGACGACTCAGATCGACAATAAATACTGTAGAAGTGCTTAGTGGAGTCTATTTTAATAAATTTTCTATTTTCTGTATATAAAACGAAAGTTATCCTTATACACTGCTGCAACGTAATAGACTTTTTTTGGAAAACGGGTGTAAATCATTCGTCTTTCAGCTGTTGCCGCTAGATGGCAGCACATTGAATGAAATTTCAATTATAAAATAAAAACGTCGTAACTTGCAATAATGGATATTGAACTTTCAACAATATGCCAACTGGGACTTATCAAAATTTCTAAAATTCAACATTATGTTAGTGTGAGTTTTGGCCACAGCGGTTTTGATAGTAATGGAGCCATTGTATTTTTTCGTCGTTTGACAAGATTTTTTTTATAGGTATTTGTGGTCTAAAATTTCAGTCAGAACAGATACTCGAGATATATCATTAAATAAATGCACAAACAATGGTTATTTTTTGTTTTCCAGGGGCGAAGTAATAATAATAGGGGCTACAAATCGCCTGGACGCAGTAGATCCAGCACTGCGTCGCGCAGGGCGTTTCGACCGGGAGTTGCATTTCCCACCGCCACACGCCTCGGCACGGAGGGATATATTGGATATCTATACAAAGCATTGGAGCCCGAAGCCTAGCGAGGAGACTTTGTATCACGTGGCACAAGTTACCAGTGGATATGGAGGCGAGTTTTAAAATCATAACTTTAATACTGTTACGACAAGTTTCTTTTATTATTGTATCAGAAACATAGATAAATATTAGAAAATATCACATATTTTCCTCTGATCCCAAAGAAAGTAACTAAAGCACTTGTGTTATGGAAATCGGAAACAACGACGGTACCACAAACACCCAAAGCTGAGACTAAGTGACAATTTTTTTTTTGAGATATCATAAAAGACCGTAACCCAGTTTTAGAATATTCAAATAGTTTAATAATATTTCAGCTGTGCGTCATTAGGGTAAGTTCGGAAAAGTCGAACACGTTAACTACTTTTAAAAGATAATTTTGTGCTCTATCTTTGGCTATTTAAAACGGATATTTGACCATTTGTCACTTAGCCAGCATTATTTATAGTTTTATTTAGATACTTAAGTAGATGTTTTTTTTAATTCAAACTATTGTATTTGTACATGCCATAAGCATAATATGCTATTCCACTTGCTATAAGTATACATAAAAATATCCCTAGAGCACAAAGTTCAATGACCAAAACCCAGCGCACTGTGGACGGTGATTAAAAAACCTGTTGGAATAGAACGTTTAAGTCGTTTATAATAAAAGGATGACCTCAGTGGCTCAACGGCTTGATCTGTGTATACTACTGGGTGAGGAGGTCCTAGTACGACTAATTTGAAATGAACTGGAAATGAACTGTTCTGAAATGTTTCTGCTCTGGATATTTCCTAGTTCAAACTAGGTCTTGGTCTCAAAACCAAGTAAACATTATTATTAATAAAGGTATTTTTACAAGAGAATTATCGTAAAAATGTTTAGCTAATGTTTTGTTTTTTTTTTTATTATAGGCTCGGATCTAAAGGCCCTATGTTCAGAATCAGTATTAAAAGCTCTACGAAGAGTTTATCCGCAAGTATACGAAAGTGAACGAGCGTTATTAATAGATGCTAAGAACGTAAGTAAATTTTGTCATGTTTATTTCCAGCGAATAACAACTAAATTGTTTTCGAATCCTATGAATATTTAGGATATGAAACTATTTTTCCGGATTTAAAGAGCGCATGTTTATTTTTTCAAACAAACCAATGCTTGGGGCCCTTTACAGGTCCCATGGTCACGGTTGACATGGGTGGCTTTAGATTTTCACGATGGATACACATTGGAAATGATTTTTTTTTTCGGAACTAAATCGCGTTGTTTTTCAAACAAACCAATGTTTCGGGCCTTTACCGGTCTCATGCTCATAGCTGACTGAGATGGTAATTGTTTTTTATTTCCAAATGGACATTTGTTTTGAGTAAAATTACGTTGTCACCAGGTGGAAGTGATGAAACAGGACATGCTAGACGCTATGCGCAGTCTAGTCGCGGCGGGAGCGAGAACTTGCCCGTTGCCGGCCAAAAAGTTGCCGCAGCACTGCGTACCTTTATTAAACGCACAGTTGCAAGCCGCTACGCAGATGTTGAACGTTGCTTTCCCTGCTACTGAGGATCGAAGGTAAACGACAAATAAAAGAGAGAGAATTTGGCTAATTTTAATATTCCTTGGGGTTACATCACTTTTGCACTGATAGCCTCAATTATAAAGGTCATATATATTTTTGGGGACGATTCCACATTCTTATTATTCTACAAGGTTGAAAAGTAATCTCTTTTGACTATTCTAATTTAATAATACTGGCCACTATCGTGGCGTACTCGTTCTTACTTCTTTTTTCAAAATTAGCGATACTCTTTTGTTTATTGCGTTTCATTTTGTGTGGACAATATGTCGAAAAAAAAACTAAATGTTTAAAAATTTATGACTACTTTTTTTAAGAGGGTAATGTACCTTTCTTATATCCCTTTGAAATATAATAAGCGCATTTCCTTTGCAGGCATATTGAATAAAAGTAGCCATGGTCGTCTTTTATTTTACACTTAGGTCGATTACTTTTCAACTACTTTTCGTACTGGGGACCTCTAAAATTTAAATAAAATCAGCTGTTCCATCATGTAAAAAAAAATCCACAGAACAGGCCATCAGTACAGTAGACCGTTCATAGAGTAACTATACACTCTACAGTGAAAGGTTCAAACCTTATCCTTGTCGCAGAATCTTAAACAAATAATTTCTCTTATATATTACGTGAACGTTGATCTCAGAAGTCAAATAGTAAGGACGACCAAGAGAGTTATTTTTGATTAAATCTCTTGACATAGTATTTTTGTCATTAAAGCTGGCAAATTATTCAAGAGTTGACATTCATTACTTATTTCACTACTCCTCACTAATCAATGAACAGCTGATGAATGTTTGTGACAAGGCATAGGCAATGTTGCATCGACGCTTGGGATTTATTAAAAATAAACCCTGTAGACCATAATGTTTATTTTCCCGTAAATTTATAATTTAGCAGTAGAGCTCCTTGTTAAAGAATTCGTCCAGGGAACTACTGTCATCTTACTTATTTCTGCCGCCAAGCAGTAATATGAGCATTACTGCGTTCCGATTTGGAAGGGTAAGGGTGCTGGTGAAATTACAGGCACATGGGACTTGTCTACTTATGTCACAGGGTAATGGGAGCAGTTGCAATGCCCCTCAGATATTTGTTATTTAAAGCTCTGAGTGGCACTGCAACTATAGTGTCAGTCACTTGGATTCATTAAAACAAAATCTGCAATTGGGCAAACCGGTACCGTTTTTTTTTTTCAAAATCTATTCGGTATATCGAAGCCTTACTTTCTCAAACTCGTATCTTATAAA